GCCTTCGCCGGGGGCGATTCCTCCAGCCCGCGTTCGAAGATGTGCACGGTCCGGCCGTTGGTGAAGGTCAGGCAGTGGGTGGACTGCAGTTTGAGCTCGCGCGCGACCAGCGGGCGGGCGCGCACGCACACCGTAATCGCGCCGTCCTCAAAGGCCGCCTTGGCGGCGGCGGCGCCGGGGCCCTGCGCGGTCATCCCCAAATCGCCCTCCGGGTCGAGAAAACCAGCGAAAACCAGAGGCGTCGGGCGCGGAAAACAACTCAAGGCCGCGCGGGAGGGGTGTTGGCAGGGGTATGCACGAGAACAGAAAACCTACTCAGAAGGAGGGATGTGTGAGAGAGAGAGAAAAACAGGGAGGGAGGGAACAGGGGATCGTCAGGAATCCGAATCACTCGGTTTGGAATCCGAGGGAAAGTAGGGTTTGGGTTTTTTGTTGTTGTTGGGGGGGCCCCCATGGGGTTCACCCAATTTTTTTTTTATATTTCACAAGAGTTTATTGCTTCCATCCAACAACAAAAAATCAACAGGATGAATAAAATACACAACCCTAACAGGTATTTTAAAAAAAGAAAAAAGAAAGCTCCAGTAGTCCCCAAATTCAATTTCAACCCCGATGATAGTCCATGACATCGCCTAAAAGGGATGCACGAGAACGATCTTAGCGCAAAATTAAGGTATACATCACGTAGACGCCGTAAAGGCAAAAAAAATACAATAATTACTATTTCATTCTTTCCTTTTTTGTGCCGCCGCTTTCTGTACGGTTAAGCGACATTGTACATGTGTGTTATTATGGATGGGGCCGCCATCATGGGAGTTGGCCCATGCGGAGCGCCACCACTCGCTTAAGCTCGATAACAGGATAGGCCGATTTCCCTTTCCGGAACTCACAAGGAGCGCCTGGCGACCTAAAGATTCCCCCTCCCTCCCTCCCCTCTCCTTCCCCCTTCTTCGCGTTATACATCTCTTCCACAATGAATTAATCAATCGCTTTTCCAGGCCGAATAAGGGATGGGAGCAACCCCACTGCACAGATAATCCCTCAACTTGAGGGCTTTGGAAAGGACTGCCCCCCC